CTCTCAGGCCGCCCACCCCCCTCCCAGTGCCAGGAGGCTCCTGACCGGGAGGGGCGGAGGGGAATTAAACCCCCCGCCCCCCAGCAAACTCGGTCGGGAGCGTAGGGGCGGGCCGGGTCCTGACGGGACCGGACCCAGTCAATATTAACGCCCCTACAAGGTGAGGTGTGACCGGACGGGGGGGCCCACGTCCGGTCATGGAGGATAGGAACAGCGGGCCGGGAGGGAAATATCCCTCCCGGTCCGGGAAGGGGGCGGGGTTTAGGTTTTCCCCGCCCCGCGGCTGAGGGCGTCTCGGAAGTAATGCGCAAGCGGTTCCCGGGACGCCCTCGCTACAGCCGCATGGGGCCCGGCAGAGGTTTTAGTGGGTAGGCCCCCTCCGGCAGTTTACTACCGGAGGGGGAGAGTCCCACACTACCCCTGGGAAAGTCCCGATTTCCCGGGGGTGTGCGTAATGCATTTCCCCTGCCTCAAAAAAAAAAAAAAAAAAAGGAATCTGCGAAATAACACTTATTCCTTCGCTCATTTGCATACAGACGTATATTTTTTTTCTCGATTGAATGTATAGCGCTTTTTAAACGTTATTCGAACTTCCAGATAATATACATATTTCAGTTGTTCCATATTGATGATAATAAAATATGCCTATATGATTACAAAGGTCCCTTTTCGATCTAGAAGCAAGGAATTCTTGCACGTTTCTAAGTAGAACGTCGGCGTGTCTCTATTTGTGTCGCATATTCAACAGTTACTAATCAAAGAAAATTTGAAAATGATCACGCTTCATACTGTAGGTGAGCTATAATGACGATTGCCGCTGCCGCTGTATGCTTGTATGCTACATTAAACTGAACTGATTTTCTTGTCATTTTGATATTATCGTGATTTTGTGTCATATCTAAATAACGATTTAAGAGTCATTACCGATGGATTTACATAACATATAATGGAATTTAGAATAATAAGTAATGATATAGCGATGGACATTAATGACCGACGCTATAATATTGGCGCACTTCACTAATTTACATAACTAATGTAATAAAAGCGTATGTAATCAATAGCGTATAACAAATTAAACATAAAAAATCGGTCGATAAAAAATCAATGAAACGAAATAACAAATTATTGCAAATTACATTTATTTATCGCACCTTCATACATAAAATCAAATGACTGCAATCACAATTGCAAGTGGCGAAATACGTTGCAACGCAATCCTTTTCTCAACATTTCCTGAAGTAAGGTTTTTGGCACATTCAGGTTCTCTAATTTCTTTAAATCCTCTTTCGTCAATATGTTGCTCGTTGTTATCTTCTTCAAAATAACGTCCATGGCCTTTATGGATAATTCTGGCAAAATGTCTATAAAAAAATATAAATAATATAAATAATATAATAAATTATCAGCCGCATTTGGTGAGTCAACATAATATTGATATTGATTTACCGTGATATATTGGAATCTGCGAAATAACACTTATTCCTTCGCTCATTTGCATAGAGACGTATATTTTTTTTCTCGCGTGAATGTATAGCGCTTTTTAAAGGCTATTATGGTCGAACTTCCAGATAATATACATATTTCAGTTGTTCCATACTGATGGTAATAAAATATGCCTATATGATTACAAAAGTCCCCTTTCGATCTAGAAGCAAGGAATTCTTGCACGTTTCTAAATAGAACGTCGACGTGTGGAAACATGTCTCTGTTTGTGTCGCATATTCGTCTAATAAAGCTCGCAGAAAACCCTTGAACAATGAATAGTAAATGAGTAATGTTTAAATCACCGAGCTATTCAATGCGCTTTCAATACTAAATATGTCTGACATGCCATGCATACACGTATTAAGTCTAATGAATAGTATAACATCATGCAATATATATTTTTATGGAAATATTATTGTTATACAGATTAACGATATTAGAGGCACAACAAATATATTTTGCAATTGTTGTATAACATGCG